AAAAAGGGAAGCACCTCTTTAAAAAAATGTTTTGGGAAGCTTCCAGGCCGGTTAAGGTAAGCTTCTAGATGCTTCCAACAAGTTTTTTGTTTCTTTGTATGATTGGGCCTGTTTTGTTTGGTGTTCTTTTCAATTTTGCATTTTTAAAATATGTGAACTTTCTTAAAATTCAAAAAATCTCCAGATTTGAGAATTAAAAAAACCGTTTTTCCTTATATTCGTGAACATTTTCCCTTTCAAATACGTGAACCTTTTCAAATCCACAATTTTTTTAAACCGTGAACATTTCAGAAAATGACGAGTTTTCTAAAATTCATGAGTTTCTTCCATAATCCATGAACTGTTTTCCAAATTTCATGAAATTTTTCTCAGTTTTTTAATAAATAAATTATAAAAAATTATATTCACAAACTTCTTTATATAATGTTTTTTTATTTTCTGATTAAAATTTTCAAATTCATGATTTTTTTCACAGCTTTTTTAAAAATTGTGAGCTTTTTTCTGAAAAGACATTAGTCAATGTGGTCCCTGGTCAATGATCATCGGTTAACAGCCGCGGGTCAACTAAAAAACGACCAGACTGAGTGAACTAGGGAAATAATAAACCTAGCGAACTAGGAACTTTACGGTGTCCCGGCTAAGGGGCCTCTCATCATAGCGACCGCGGCCTGGTGGGTCGGGTCGAGGACCTCCATGTCGGTTCTGTCTTGGGTCACTTCGGACGGCCCATGACAATTGCAAGGAAGATTCAGAAGACTTGGCGTATACTCCAAGACACCGGATCTATGGAGAACCTTATCTCCTTGTATGTAGCCAACTAGTATCTTGTATCCCTAGAACCCCCGGTACCTATATAAACAGAGGGGCCAAGCTTGTAGATGACACACTACAATCTTTTGGTTAGTAGTACATGTACTTTGTACTACACCCCATCCAAAAAACACAAGCAAAACATAGGGTATTATCTCCTCAGAAAGCTCAAACCTGACTAAAATCGTGTGTCCTTGTTACCATCGCTTTTAGACGCTTAGATCCCCTACCTTGAGATCTGTCGGACTAGTTTACGCCAGCTAGCGATCTAGGAACGGAGTCAACACTTGCTATGTTTTATTGGGCCGACCCATGAGCGGCAGGTGCGTGAGCGCCAGTTCTCAACTGGCGCATGAGGCACCAATTAGGAGCTCTCAATATGAAGCTACCGTTAGCGGGATGTACTAAAATAATGCAACTCTATCAAACTCCTTGTGCAGGTGTCAGTTTCATCACGAGAATCAATTTGAATTCCATCTTTCTCTCTCTCTCTGTCTTGAACCATTTATATTGATCTGTCTCAAACCATGTATATCGATATATAAACTTCATTGAATAGTGAGAGCAATCTTATTCTAGCCTGAACACTAGAACATAAAATGGGCACTCACTAATTCATGAGAAAGCAAAGCTTTTCAACGGTCTAAAAAGAAATGAAAGAGGATCACATTCTATACAAAAAAGGAGTAGTTACAACGTGATTGACCAAACTGTTGTCTATGCCAAGTGTGCAAGCGTGAACTGTAATCTATGGTGCACATGTTCTTCAAATGTAGATTCACCAGGCGCATTCGGGATGTGATTAAAGTTTGGCTCGGAATGGTTGATATGCACACGGAATTGGGGCAATTTCCTTCTTCCCATGGATTGGTGATGCTCGATGGCCAACATCAATGGCCAAAAATGGCATTAGTAGCAAGAGGAATGGAATGACGTCCCTCCTGCTCATATCACGCAAGATTTGGAACAAGGACAATGCGAGAGTGTGATACGTCGGAGATCTAGGAGTGGAAAAACTCCGGGTACTCAGAACGGAGGTGGTCCTCGCGTTCCCAGGTGGCTTCACGGTCGGAATGATGTGACCACTGCACTTTCAGGAATTTGATAGACTTGTTGCGAGTCTTGCGCTTAGTTTCTTCAAGAATAGCAACGGGGTGCTCATGACAAGACAGGTCTTCTTGGAGATTAATCTCTTCAAAGTTGATGGTGCGATCAGGAGTC